TTTTTTTTTCTTTTTTTTTTGGGGGGGGGGGGGGTTTGCGCAAAAAACTTGACCCGCTCCAAGTGGCACTATCCTTTGCTACGCAATGACCTTGATCCCTAAATTAACAAGAGTGGTTTTTTGTTTTTGTTTAGCGTATCTGTGCTCGTCATCTTCTAAGACAACATTACTGCAGGTTCCGCGCTCGCCCGAGACCTGTAAGCTTGATTACGGCCGAGTCAGTCACGTGGCACGCATGCATCTGTTGATAAAGTTTCTGATGGATGGGTCCACGATTTATTGATTCCAAATCCATGTATTTAATGCACGTGTCAAAATATTTCAACCCCTGGGGAAGCAATTGCATGCTTTTTCTATTTATTCTATTTTCAGCGTTTCCTTTTTCTCGTTTCATATTTAAGATTAATTTGACTTCCCACGAGGAGCTATCCGAGGCTTGGGGAATCACGAGACAACTGAAATTATGCCTTACGAAAAGGATGACTATGTAACTGAAAGGTTTCAAATTGAAGTGAAGTGAAGTCTAGTACTTGAGATTAACGGTGCCACCTGATTGCTATATCAATCAATGCATGAGAAAAAAATAAAAATGAATGCGCCGGGTGAGCATTCGATTTTTATATTATAATCGAATACATTGGGTAAGCTTCCAGGCGAATGCAATCAATACAAACACCTTAACCAATCCCGGCCTAAACCATCGGTCGATTTTACAGAAAGGTAAAGATCTATGAGTTAGGATGATGACGAAACAAAGCTGTCATTTGTTTTGGCCACGCCTATAGTTTTATGCCGAAAACGAGGTTTCCCACTTAATGACGTCATATCTCACGAAGCCAAAAAGTGATTTATGGTGAGGTTGACCTAATCGCAATAATGTTACGACCCAGACAAGGTCACACGCTCCACCGAGTGTGGGATCAACAGTAAACATGGCACCGCGACACGCGCGTGCAAACAAGCCCCCCCCCCCCGCCCCGCTGAAAGCTCTTCGATTCCATTGTCGTCATGTGGGGGAGATTTTGGGTTAACTATGTTTTTGCAGGTCCACCGTAAATCATTGGCTTTGGGAGAAAGGGAAGCGGACAGATGGGCATTCCTCCCCGGAAGGAATTTGTACCTTTTTTTTTTTTTTTTTGGGGTTGGAGCGGAATTTTTAGTAAATTCTTTTGCAATACATGGAGTATTCTGTATGTTTTGTGATTTTCATGAGAGAAGAGCGGCAAAATCAATGATCACCTCGAGAGTTACGGTCTGGGCCGTGATCAGCAGAAGCAGCGTCTGGGTCAGGCCTAAGATGTATGCAATCTCTTCCTAATACTAATATATCAATACATATAATCCTCTGTATAATATGAAAGAAAGTAGGGTGTAGTGGTGAGTTTAATGGTGCGCACAGTAAAATTCCAAATAACTGCGCTAAATAAGATTCTTACAAAAATTGTTCGTGCCTAATTAATCTAGTTGTAAGTTTTATCGCAGTCCAACACTCTTAAAAATACCGCAAGTGTTTTTGGTGCGCAATATTTTTGTTTTGTTTTTCGTAAATAGTCTCAATTTAAATATGATGTAATATAAATCTTCTTCATACAGATAGTTTTATAGGCAGTCCTACAGGCAGTACTACAGGCATTCCTACGGAAGTCCTGCAGCAAGTCCTGCAGCCAGTTCTACAGGCAGTCCTACAGGCAGTCCTACGGACAGTGCAGCCAGTCCTACAGGCAGTCCTACAGGCAGTCCTACAGGAAGTCCTACGGACAGTACAGCCAGTCCTACGGGCAGTCCTACAGGCAGTCCTACAGGCAGTCCTACAGGCAGTCCTACAGGAAGTCCTAAGGACAGTACAGCCAGTCCTACAAGCAGTCATACAGGCAGTCCTACAGGCAGTCCTACAGGCAGTCCTACAGGCAGTCCTACATGATACCCGTGCCCCTTCGCCAGGCTCTGGTCACAATTTTAACTCCTCCTCTGTCATAAATGTATTAAAACAGGAACAAAATGAATATTGTCAGGTTTGAAGGCTATCTAAAAGGATTGAAGGCTACCTCGTAGCATTGAAAGTTGCCTGTCAAGGGAAGAGGGAGGATGGGGCTGACGATTGGCTTAATAAATTAAGTTCGAGATGAAAGTAGTTGAGAAATATTTAGTACAAGAGTGACATCAGTGCGCTTTGAGCACGCTAGCGCTAGAATAGCATGGGAAAAAACGCTATATAATTAATCAATCAATAATAATAATCATCATCAAGAATATAATAGATTAAAATGAGGGTCTGCAATATACCTCGTCTATTCATTATGTTCCACGGCGGAGAGACAGACAGGGAGACAGAGTGAATGAGATAGAGAGAGAGAGTTGAGATGGGATTTGTGGGTAAAATGCTCTCCCCACTCTCTGATAACCTTTGAAACGTTTGTTTGCACTCAGCAGTAATTATTTCTTAACACGAAGAGTTCCCCCCCACCCCACCTTTCCCCCCGTGTCCATAAACCGCACCACCAATAGTAACACTCACCTTAACATGAGTTGAGAACAGTTGCGTACCTAGGGTTGGTGCCGCCCGGGGCAGGCCAACTTTGTTGCCGCTCCCCTGCCACGAAAAAAAAAAAAAAACCCTCTGTAGTGGGCCGAAAATGAAGCCTCTCTGAATATGGAAAATTTGCCTACGTCACTTGTTGGTCATATTTTGCCCAAACGATTTGTGCTCCAAGCATATGCAGAACATTTACATAAAATTGTTAACTCTTAATTATGCGTGTCCTATCAATTGTGGAAGGTGGTCTGCCAGGTCTCACTCACTCAGTCCACGCCAATGGCGGGTGCCATTCTCTCACTCACCCAGTCCACGCCCATCGCGGGTGCCATCATCTCACTCACTCAGTCCACGCCCATGGCCGGTGCCGTTCTCTCACTCACCCAATCGGTTCACGCTAAGATGAAGATGTGAGTTCCTCACCAGATCAAGAGAAATGCGTTTACAATTGTTTTCGTTCAACTGCTAGCATTCGCATGAAGGTAAATTAATTAACATATTTAATCGACATTGGTAAGTTATGTTATGTCTGTGTATAGTGACGTCAGACATAGTCAACTGATGCACTTAAATAATTAATGATTTATGTTTTTAATAAGAGATAGGCAAAAAGTACAACATATTTTTCAAATAAAAAAAAAAGGAAATAATTAAAATTAAATTTAAAAAAAAAAAACGTAAATAATGTTGCTTAATTTTTCTTCAATCTCTCCATTTTTATCAACCCTTCGTTGACTTCATACTAACGTGTGTGTGCATGAGTGTGTGTGTTTGTTTATTTTTGTTTTCAAATGTATTTAAATGCTTATCAATCTGGTTAACGGCAAGTTAAGTAAAAAGTTTAGCGTATATTAAAGGACACTTCTAATCTATAGAAAAATTGGGAGGATTCTCGCAAGTTGTGTAAACATGTGCAGAGAAATCTTGAAGCGACCGGGGAAAGTATAATGAGAGAATCACCTCCCTTACAAACAGCGCATTTCCATACGTTCCATTTTAATTAAAGCGCAAAGTTGGAACGTAAAACTAGCTACTTTTTTTTTTTTTTTTGGTTCTAAATGGGTTTTAATGCCGTGCCATAACTTATCTACTAAGCTACCTTATCAGATCTCTCCCCCATCTGCGTTTGTGAATGTTCTCCGACAATGCGTGATTCTGGTTGATGCTAGGAGTACAAGAACGTTCTCGGATGGACACACCAAGACAACCAAAACAACACGACCAAACGACGAGACTTGTTTTGAACATCAGTAGCACACCAACACACAGTGTTTTAAAATCAGTTAGCTGTTGATGTCACTTTCTAAATAGTAGCAACAAAAACTCTCGTTGACAAATCTCAGAATGGGGTCAGCATGCCGACAGTGTCAGAGGGGAACCAAGATGAATATAAAGTTGTCGACGTCTGGGAAAATTATGCTCATTTAAAAAAAAAAGAACAACCAAAAAAATGTTTTTATTTTGTTTATGGCCACTGTCCTGGCTTCAGATTGTGGGCTCTGCAAGACCCCGAGCTGAAAGTTAACAAGATGGACGGTGTGACGTCATGGATGGTGCTATTCGCGATGGCTGTGTGTCACAAGGGCTTAACCGACGTGATGGCGGGTTCCAATTGTAAGTAATTCTATTTATAGCAACTTTAGTGGCCACCACCACTAGCGTCATAAAACTATACTACTGTCTTCAAACATTTTACACAAAACTCCCTCATTAAGGACCTCTTAGTGATATTAGTTATAGCTGGGCCTAAAAGTCCTCTCGCGTGTACACATCATATAATGGGACCGCACTATGAAACAATTCATTCACCCCTCAATCCTTCCTTGAAAACTTCATCAGATGTGGAAGACGTAGGCCTACCTTGAGCTTAGAGCAGGGCGGATGTGTTTTAGAGCAGGGCGGATGTGTTTTAGAGTAGGGCGGATGTGTTTTAGAGTAGGGCGGATGTGTTTTAGAGTAGGGCGGATGTGTTTTAGAGTAGGGCGGATGTGTTTTAGAGTAGGGCGGATGTGTTTTAGAGTAGGGCGGATGTGTTTTAGAGTATGGGGGGGGGGGGGGGGGGGGGGGAGGGGGTATAGGAGTGAGGGAATTATCCAATTATATCACTTTGGTGAAATGAAATACAAGTTTGAGTATGTTTTAAATCCTCTTTATATTAACTTCGGTTTTGTGTTTCTGAATGACAAAAGCATGAAAAAAAATAATAAAATAATAATAATAATAAACGTAGGTTTTAGCCCGCAAAAAAGACTCGTATTTTAAATTTTCCCTGTAAATATTTGCAAAAGTTTGCATCCATACACCCGCCTGGGTTGGGTTTTAGTAGTTTAAAAAAAAAAATTTCATAGACAGAATCTATACTATACTAATACGATTCTATAATTTATTTTTTTATACTCTAAAACAGCGCAGGGAAGCGGCTCAGTTCAGGGTCAACCATCATCATCATCATCAACATCAACGACCTCATCATCAACATCAACGTCGACTAGATCTGCGATAACATCTGCCGTGGATACAACCACCAGCGCGACAACAACATCGACGCAGTCGTCAACGCCGCTGACGTCTGTTGATTCAACAGCCAGTAAACAAAACTTTAAAATTTTTACTCATTGGTCTCCCCTCTTTGAACTCTTAAACTTTGACCTCGCGGGCTAACCAGCAGAGTTGTGCAGGTTGAGTTGTGCAGGTTCATTCGTTTTTATTGGTCAAAACGGTCGTGTAGGAAGGGAGCTACGGAAGGCAGCTCTTTTTTTTCGTTTTATTTTTAAATTTGGAAGGGTGACATTATCGGTTAACTGCAGAGTTGTTTTCGTGGAAGGGTGCGTCAAAATTCGCCCCCCCCCCCAGGCGGCATTAACTCTGTATAGCTACGCTCGTGCGGAGAAACGATTTCATATGGAAAGTTTGTTTTTCTGACCGCTACATAAAATCCGTTTCGACAGAAATATGTAACGCTTGTCTATCAATTCCCTTACAACAGCCCACTAAATCTCAGATTTAACGTGTCCTTACAACAGCCCACTAAATCTCAGATTTAACGTGTCCTTACAACAGCCCACTAAATCTCAGATTTAACGTGTCCTTACAACAGCCCACTAAATCTCAGATTTAACGTGTCCTTACAACAGCCCACTAAATCTCAGATTTAACGTGTCCTTACAACAGCCCACTAAATCTCAGATTTAACGTGTCCTTACAACAGCCCACTAAATCTCAGATTTAACGTGTCCTTACAACAGCCCACTAAATCTCAGATTTAACGTGCCCTTACAACAGCCCACTAAATCTCAGATTTAACGTGCCCTTACAACAGCCCACTAAATCTCAGATTTAACGTGTCCTTACAACAGCCAACTAAATCTCAGATTTAACGTGCCCTTACAACAGCCCACTAAATCTCAGATTTAACGTGCCCTTACAACAGCCCACTAAATCTCAGATTTAACGTGCCCTTGCAACAGCCCACTAAATCTCAGATTTAACGTGCCCTTGCAACAGCCAACTAAATCTCAGATTTAACGTGTCCTTACAACAGCCCACTAAATCTCAGATTTAACGTGTCCTTACAACAGCCCACTAAATCTCAGATTCAACGTGTCCTTACAACAGCCCACTAAATCTCAGATTTAACGTGTCTTTACAACAGCCCACCAAACATCAAAATTACAATTTGATTTTTATGAAGCCGTACACCCATGTTTCTTAACATTCCATTCCAAATGCGTTCATTATTTGTGTTAAATTCATTGTTTACAGAGAAGGTTAATGAAACTATTATTCCTCAGGCCAGGCAACTAGAGCGCCATTTGTGATTGGCAAGATTTTCGCGGACATCTACCGCGGCTCACAACCAGACTGTCGCACCGTATCGTGTTCGCTGTCAGCCTTCAACGTTGGCTTAGCCAGGTAACACTTAACCAGGTAACCTAACCACACTACCGTGCTCGCTGTCAGCCTTCAACGTACGCTTAGCCTGGTAACATTCATAACCATACCGTGTGCGATGACAGCCTTCAATGTTGGCTTAGCCAGGTAACACTTAGCCCAGTGGTTCTCAACCTTCCTAATGACGCGACCCTGTAGTACAGTTACCATTGTTGTGGCGACCCCCAACCACAAAATTATTTTCGTTGCTGCGTCATAACTGCAGAGTATTTGTGTTTTCTGGTGGTCTTAGGCGACTCATGGGAAAGGGTCGCGACCCACAGGCTGAGAACCGCTGACTTAGCCACATATCATAAACATACCGTGTTCAATATCAGCCTTCATCGTTGGCTTAGCCAGGTAAAACTTAGCCAGGTAACAAAGCCATTCTGTGTTCAATATGAGCCTTCAGCGTTGGCTTAGCCAGGTAACATAACCATACTGTGTTCAACATGAGCCTTCAGCGTTGGCTCAGCCAGGTAACATAACAAACATCACTCGATATCAGTTGTCGATGTCGTTTTAGACAGGAAACAGCTAAACCAGCAGCCACGCTCACTGAAGTTGTGACAACATATTTGCCTAGGAAGTCATTTATTTTTTCCAACTGTAGCAGTGGTCGTACACTGGAGGACATACACATATTCTATCAGTTTGAGCACAAATGGAGCGGAACTTATAATATTTGCTAATATTCCGAGTCTCACATTCTCACATGAAACTTCCATGAGTGCGATTCGAGCAGGACCCAGGAGTCTCACATTCTCACATGAAACTTCCATGATTGCGATTCGAGCAGGACCCAGGCGTCTCACATTCTCATATGAAACTTCCATGAGTGCGATTCGAGCAGGACCCACGCGTCACGCGTTTAATAAATCACGATACATATCAAACGATAAAATTAATTTTCCCACGTTATTTTTGTAACAGTTTTTTTTTTAAAATGTGTCATAAAATTTAAATAATTTAATAATGGGTAAGTGTTTTAATATTTGTTTTTCTCATAGAATGTACGCGTGCTAAATAAAGGCCACCTACCTACCTACCTACCTACCTACCTACCTACCTACCTACCTACCTACCTACCTACCTACCTACCTACCTACCTACCTACCTACCTACCTACCTACCTACCTACCTCCCTACCTACCTACCTACCTACCTACCTACCTACCTACCTACCTACCTACCTACCTACCTACCTACCTACCTACCTACCTACCTACCTCCCTACCTACCTACCTACCAGGGGTAGACTAGGGAGTTCAAGCGGCCCGGGAACAAATCAAAGCGGCCCGGGGGAAAAAAAAAAAAAGCGGCCCTATCTTCATGACTTTTATTTTTATTACATCACCGGTCCTAGCGGCCCATCGGGAATCTTCCCGGTGTCCCGGCGGCCCAGTCCACCCCTGCTACCTACCGAAACAAATTGATTACATCAGTTCACTTTGCTATTTCAACGCCCTAAGGTTAAATCATTGCCATAACAATGGAGGAAGGAAACGTCCACATGATGTAAAAATAATCTTTTTTTGTTTGCGGTTGTTGTTCTTCCGCCCATCGCCGAGAGCCGATGCTTTAACGTCGGTCAAAACTAGCGACGCCATGAGGCCTAGGCGTTATGTTTTATGGAGAAACGGCTGTTTCCAACGCACCTGTTTCCAATCGTCTATATTCAACCTGGAATATCCTCCACGTTATTATTGACTTAAATTTGGAATAATGGGGTAAATTCTAATAAATTTCATAAATCATGACAGTTACAATTCTAATAACAATCACTCATGACAGGCACAATTCTAATAAGTCATGACAATGTCAGTCACAATTCAAATATTAAGTCATGACAGTCACAATGATCCAGCCGGTACAAACAAATGACATTAAACAAAATCAGAGATACAACTTAGGCTGGATACATAATTAGTTCCAAATATGTCTTACTCCGCGACTCATTTCACACCCCGCCCCCCCCCCCACACCCATCCCCCCCCCCTTTACCAAAATAAAACTGGGAGAAAAAAAAGTTGCATCGACCGGGAATCGAACCCGGGTCACCCGCGTGGCAGGCGAGTATTCTACCACTAGACCACCGATGCTCTTGAACATCGTTCGCTGAAAAAGAAAAGATTGCACCACAGTTATTTCTGAACCATCTTGCATGTTTATTAATTTATTACCATGGTGACCGTGTGGTTATTTTATTTTCTTGGATACTGAGGTTACTGCTAGCTATTAATTAATTAAATTTTAACCAGTTGAGAAGGGTCACTAGTTACTGCCCAATATACAAATATGCAAAAATGAAACTTATCCCTTAAATTTTTAAAAATAAATTTAGGCCTATGTTATTCAATATCTAACGGTAGGGTCTTTCTCCTACTAATACTACTCCTACTCCTACTCCTACTCCTACTCCTACCAACCAAATTTCACGTCTTGCTCTACAATATCTTCATCTAGATTATTGTAGATCATGATTTTTCTGCAAACCGGCCCAAACCCTTCCCCTGGACTTAGGAGTTGATTGAGATTCTATTATTTATATTTAAGACACCTTCCATTTTAGAAACAAAAATATTATCATCAGTGATGGGGCGTAGTCGTAGTTTCTCACTGGCACTACACTGTGGCTACTCTCTATACTTATAGGCTAAACTATAGTGCAGCGGTTCTCAACCTGTGGGATGCGACCCCTTTCGCATGACCCTTTCCAAGGGGTCGCCTAAAACCATATGAAAACACATATGCTCTACAGTAATGAAGTAGCAAAGAAAATAATTTTGTGGCCGGGGGTCGCCACAACACAAGGAACTGTATTAAAGGGTCGCGACATTAGGAAGGTTGAGAACTACTGCCTACGTATGTACAAAAGTTGATTTGTTGCAGAAGGTGACCTGCGTTGAGTTCTTTCTTGCGAAGACATCCCCGAGATTGTCGATATACTGTCACATGCTCACATACTCATACCATTGGCATTTCATTAAGTAAAAACCACTAGGTTTAACTAACACTGCGTAACATAGGCTATAATAATTTTTTTTAAACTGAAACTGATAAAATATTTCAGCTTAGTTGTTATTTATAAGGCCATATTTCTTCCTCTTTGTTTGTACTGTAGACGGAAGGGTGCTTCTCGCCGACGACACCTTCGTTGTTTTGTTGGGTCATTTGTTTTTTCTTCACTTTTTCCAAATCCTGTTCTTCATCGTTCTTTTGACTTTTTTGCCTATTTCCTAATCTGATTGCAGTCTCTCCCCCTTATTGTGGATATTTATATAATAATGGTCCGTAATTTAAAAAAAAAAAAATGGTTGAGTTTGCAACGTCTGGAGCTAGAAGGAAGGGGAGAAGTGAGAGAACGAGGGGGGGGGGAGGCTATGAGGCGAGGAAGAGAAACCGCACAGATTAATGGAGAAGGGAAAGGTGTGACTCTAGGAAGCACTTTTGTTTTTTCTTCTTCAAATGGAGGAGCGGGATTATCAGCCAACTGCAGAGATTTTTTTTTCTATGGAAGTGGGCGTATTTGATAAATTATTACCCTTATGGCCAAAAGGAAATGTTTTTTTTTCGTACAAAAAAAATTATTCCTAAATATTTTAGACTGAAGGAGTCCTTGCACTGGAAAAAATACATAGCTGATAGGTCCACAGTTTGTTACACATGTGATGATAATTTTTTGTGTGGAAAATATAAGTAAATAATACTTTATACCATTTATCGTATAGCAGAGTCAGACCTGTTTACTCTTACGCTTTTAGCGTACAATGTATGATTTTGAGGTGTATACATTATACATATATTGTATGTTTATATTTTTACTACTAAGATAATGTATAAAANCCAACCTGTTTCCTCAGGTCAGCCATCATCCACTGCCAACATTACATTACTCTAATTTGGGCCAACCTGTTTCCTCGGGTCAGCCATCATCCCTTGCCAACATTACATTACTCTAATCTCGGCCAACCTGTTTCCTCAGGTCAGCCATAATCCTCTGCCAACATTACATTACTCTAATTTGGGCCAACCTGTTTCCTCAGGTCAGCCATCATCCACTGCCAACATTACATTACCCTAATCTCGTCCAACCTGTTTCCTCAGGTCAGCCATCATCCACTGACAACATTACATTACCCTAATCTCGACCAACCTGTTTCCTCAGGTCAGCCATCATCCACTGCCAATATTACATTACCCTCATTTCGGCCAACCTGTTTCCTCAGGTCAGCCATCCACTGCGCATCACTGTGCAGCCAGGACATGAGCTGCCTGTACTACCGTATCGAAGACTACGTCCCGACCAGCAGAGACATCGGGTATACATCCACGTCCAAGTTGTGCTACTTCTTCACAATACCGCCCACCATCACCCTTGGCTCCTTCAAGTTTCTGGGACAGTTGTAATCAGCCGAGAAGCGTTTTCTTTTTTAAAGACAACAGTGAAAGGCTTCTTTACACCGGTAGCTTGAGAGTCTATGTAGACTGATGTTGATGTGAGGGCTGGGGACTGCAGAGAGAGAAGGGGGGGGGGGGCTACTTCCACTTTTATCGATCGCATGTAACGGTAATTTGTCAAACGACGCCAATGACAGTTATTGCATTTGTGTTCATTAAATTTCGTGCAAGTGATGAATAAATTACTACGTTGTAGTTTATGTTACACAATGAGTCATTTCAACAAATGACCATAGCGACTCAAATCTAAGATCGCTTGAGGTGGAACTGAGCCCCTTCTCGTTTCGGCTGGCCCAGTGGCGTCACTAGGAGCGTGTGGACCGCATCGCATGACAAAAACCCTAGTGACGCCACTGGATGGATGTTTATTTTATTTGTTGATCTAATTGAAGATTAACGTTACATAATAACAACTCGTCCCCCCACCCACACCCCCACCCCACACCTTCAGCACATCGTTTTCTCATTTATACGCAATAATTAACAGTTTCAAATAGAAACCCAAACATTTAAATCAATTACGAAAGTGTTTATTTGCCTCTGAAACTTCACAAAATGCTCTAATATTAAAATACAGAGTACAAAATTATTTGAGTTTGTTTTTTTTGTGTGAAAAAAGGTACTCAATTCTTTACCGTCCATATTATTGGTTGTTGCAAACATCTTGCACATTTTTTTTTTAAAAATAAAAATGTTCTACGTTTTATTGTCAATAATGTGTCCATAATTGCACATATCACATGGAATGTTAAGCATTGCCTCACATTCTTTTCATTTCTTGATCATCATATCATCAAGATTTTTAGAGTTAAAATTTAGCTCTACATCTCGAATAAAGAAAAAGTTACTCTGCATATTTAATAATAATTTAAAGAATTTTAAAAATGCTATGTTAGAAGTTTCATGATATTGTTTTACTAATATCTTAATGAAATTAATGGTCTGGTTCTGGAAAAAAAAAAAAAAAAAAGAGATTTGGATCATGGGAAAGAACTTGAGTTGATGGAACCACAAGTTATAGATCTTGGATCAGGGGCAAGCACTATTAATGGGTGAAGCGACAAGTTATAGATCTTGGATCAGAGAGAAGAATTCGGATTGATGGGATTAAAAAAAGAGTTTTATTTTTTCCCCGTTCCATCCAGGAAATAGAGTTGACCGTCCGAGATAGTGGTGTGTTAGCTAAAGGAGGATAATATGAAAGAGTTAAGTTAAAATCATGGAATGATAATATGACATTGTCAGAACATAACAGAATTCATCATGTCACTGTTAAAAATTTAGAATCACAACAATTGCAGCCAGAGATTAATTGAACATTTATATAAAAACCATGGGGGGGAGGAGGTTTTGAGGGTTTTTACTTAGAAAGCAAGGCATGTTTGACATACATAAATATAATCTATTAATAAAATTTAATAAAGATTTTATTATTTATTCATCACAAAAAAGCAGAAGATATTTTTGTTTAAATGCTTGAATGGAGTGTCACAAAATGTGTGTACTTAATGTTTGTGCCTTGGTTGGAAACTGCTGAGACTTAAACATCTACAAAAAGAAACAAAAAGTCTGAGAAAACAGCACAATGGTATGCACAGCAAAAGCAGAAATGTTCTCTAAAAAGTTCAGCGATTCCTATATACAGTGCAAAGTATAACAAACTTAGTATTTTGTATAACTAACAAGACTTAGTATTGAGTTTTATTAACAAGACGTAGTATTTAGTATAATTAACAAGACGTAGTATTTAGTATAATTAACAAGGCTTAGTATTTAGTATAATTAACAAGGCTTACTTCAACCATGTTTTGAAATGATGTCTTGGCGCCATTGAAGAATTTTTGCACTCTTAGTTAAACCTCTGATGACATCATGAGTATAAATTTATACAAGCAATAAGAAACCGTAAACATTAATGTTTTTTTTTTTACCCAATAATACTTGGAAAATAAGATCACATCACTTGATTATTGAGTGCAGTTTATCAAAAGATCATTTTAAAATAAAGAGAAGATTTTCTTGTCAATGATGTAAGAATGTGATAATAATAATAGCTTTAATGATCCATTTATTACTGTATACCATATTTTTAAACCATGGTCGGTTTCAGGTGCATTAAGCACTATATGTATATTGCCATGTACATTTCAGCTATTGTGAAAGGTGCATAGACCATAAATGTTGTTGACCCACTAGCTCGAGCTTCTCTCCATTGGTCAGATATGTTTCAGGAGCAGGCTACATGTTATAATTTGCAAGCTATTTAGTCCTGAAAAAATGCTTATTTAGCATTAGTACTATTTGTTAGGAGAATTCTGTATTTCCTTCTTTACAACATAATAGGGTCCAAATGTAGATAAAGGAATGTATTGATTGAAATCAACAATAGAAAGATATCACAAGAAATCTTAGAATCAGAGTGAAAGTAAAGACAATACATTTTTTTGTACATAGAAATTCTTAAACTGACCACCTTATAAAATTATCTCCAAAGTATTCATTCTAAATGTTCAATTCCTGCTTAATATTGTGCAATTTGTTTCGTTTGTTAATCTTTGTCATTCTTCTGCTGGTGACCTCATCTTTGGTGTGGCTTAACACCCCTTGTTAAACTTGTCCCCCATATCCAGGCTTTAAATCTTTATACTGCTTTCAAAAGACTACTAGTAGTTCAGTTACAAAAGATATGTTTAAAAACTTAATAAGAGCCCAGTCTAAAACAAATTATGACGTGGAAAGCCTTTTACTTGTAGATGCTAGGAAATGTGGTCAACAAAAATTTTGAAAGTTTGGTGTCAAAAGTCATGAAATGAAAATTGGGTACTTGTTAAAAACAAACACAGCAAACAATAATAGACACAATTGGTTGATAGAAATTTAAAACAATTATTAAATGAGTTTTTAAAAAATCAAATTACATAACAAGGATAAAATATTTTTTCAAACAATGCATGAGCACCTTTACAGAGGCTAAGTTTACCTCCCTTTGTTGTTTTTTAAGGTTTAACACAATATTTATGCCTTGGTTGATTTGAATTTTGTTTTAAATTAAACATGCAGAAAAACATCATTCCTGTCAAGTTAAATGAGATCTTTCAATAATATGTTGATAATCTTGATAATCAGGGAATCATCAATTTAATAATCATAAACAATTTTATGCATCAAACATTAAATGAGGAAGTAGTTGAGAATAATTAAACAATGAAAACAATTCTTCTCACATGATTAAAATAGTTACATTTGTTCTGTAGGTGCTTGACACGCAATACACGTTTCACATTTCCTCCATGCAGATAATTCAGTCCATTATTTACAAGTGTTATGTGTTAGTGCAGGAAATGCCACTTGTGGATTCCTTAAGGGCAAGAATGATGCTGTCAAGGGTAGCCGTCAGCTGGGTTACTTCCTTGTCCAGATCTTGCATTGTTTTGTCCTGAGCAAGAAGTTCTTGTATTAAGGCTGCCAAAAAGAAAAAGCAAAAGCTGATACTTGTTATGGAGCATAAATGTTGGAAGTGAGCCCACCAGCCCGCAGCATTACGCGTACACTTACATTCACGGTAGCAGACCCATTCTCTCAGTTTATATTGTTTCACAAAAATCTTTTCCAATTGAAATAGTGTAATTTCTTGTGTGGTTGTTGGAATGAAAAATTAATATTTATAACTCTAGTTTTACAACTTTGATTCTATAAAGAAGTATAAATGTTTTGATCTCACTGTCCCTACGGTCAGAAGGACAGGATCTTTGGAATAAAGTTAAAGATAAGTAAGAAATGAAGCAGCGATAATCAAAGAATTTTGCAAAAAAAAATGAGACAAGAGAGATGACAACTAAGATTACACAGATGTAGTCGGTAATTAATGACAAAGTACAGAGGATGTTGAGCATGCTTCAAATATTATTATTGAAATATTCAAATATTAATACAACTATTACAATTTTCCTGTATATACTAAGTCATAAGTTTATTTTCTAACTTCTACAGTCCTCTTTAAATTGCAAAAAAAAAAAAAAAAAAAAAAAAGTTGATTTTTTTCATAATCTTAAAATGTTTTGTTACTCATGTAGGCGGTACAAGACTTAGTGAAACAATTCACATGGGGTGCGAGACAAGTCAAATAATTTTTAGGTGGTATGGAATATAGAAAAGGTTTGGAAACATTGCAATTATTCAGGCAGTATAAATAACAATTTTATTAGATGGACATCAATTGATTTTGGACAAGATCAAATGAAATATATTTTTTTAAAGGTACTTCTGGTGAATACCAACTGCTATGACTACTATAAAAGCTTAGTTATCTCCAACACAATTAACCTGGTGACCTTACTTTCCATATTTGCAAACTGCTCCAGTACCATCAAGTCATCTTTCATTTTCTTCACAGTTGTATCAGCTTGCGTCAAGTTGCCAAGTGGTGGTATCATGGTGGCAGCAATCTCTTGTGTATTAATGTTCTTCATCACTTCAAGCAGTGCTAGCTGATTCTACAATTGAAAATTATTCAGTTGAATGTCATGTCAGCAACGTACAAATAAACTTAAATAACTTATTACCTTTTTTTTAAAACCAAAAACAATTTTTTAGGATTTAGATGTTTAAAACAAAATGCTACCAAACATAAGTCACAGTTAAAAATAATTATTTTGTGTTATTTATTTATTTAGGCATTTTTTTTATAGCGCTTACCTTACAGCTCTAAGCGCTTTACAATTATTAAAAATATGTAAACTATTTAAACTGCTAAAGTAAAATAAAAATGAAAAACCAGAGACACTATTTAATGCTTGAAGGGCAACTTGGCAAGCCAAAATTCATCATGTGGAATTCTTTCAGTTTTATCACCTAGTCCAGCTATCCAAAATCTTTCTAAAAGGGTGACTGGTTGGGAACGGGGTGGTTTAAGGTCTTTAATTATATCCCCTTCAACCCGTCCTGGGGCTGGACATTCTTTGAGACGACCTACAACACAGCTGTGTAGCACAAGGTTAAGTGACTGCTGCATTTGCCCAACATTTTTAGAAAAGTTCCTTTGTTGTGCGTTTACATATGTGTGCATACTTATCAAAATATAAAGATGTTGCCAAGTACATTACTCATTGGCATTCAGCAAATAGATACACAGTGCAAGGTTTGTGTGCAGCATAAGCAGCCAATCATTCTCACCCACTTGACTACAATTCTAAAAATATCCTCCTTTACTTTACACACAACACATGTGCATGAGCTCATTCCAGTGATCATAACTGATTCTCTAACACAGTGTTGTTCCTAACTTTTAAGTTCGGTGGACCGTGGACACTTTAAAATTGCATCAGGGACCCTTGCCAGATTTGTTTATTACATTTTCTTTTATTTGACCATAGATATTCATGTTGTGAGTACCGGAAGCGTTAGTCTCATGGACAGCCGCCAGTCTGCGGACCTCCATTTGAGAAGCACTGCTCTATCAGATATGTTCTGATGTGCAGTGGGAAATGGCAGGATTCCATATGAAGGGTGCAAACCATTCCAGTAATTCTCACATATTTTTTAAAAGTATCGTTAGTAACCCAGTTACCCACTAGCCAGACTTCTACG